TTTTTTTTTTTTTTTTTTTTTTTAGTAATTACCTATTTATTTTATCATGATAGTCATGTATTGGAGTGGCTCGGTTTTACTAACTAGGTGTCAATTCCTATCTAAAATCTACAAAAGCCCTCTCACATGTACTTTAAAAGTTTGATGCTTTCGATATTTTGTCATAAGGGGTCGTATGTTGAAATGGTCCAACTTTACTCACTTCGTGTCAATTCCTATAAATTGGATCAAAGCTCATCAAGACCTCCAACTATTTTAGATCTCACATGTACAAAGTACATATTCGAGGTTATTGATCGTGTGTGCATATCTAACCCTAACAAAGGGTCGCATTACGCGATACTCAACCTTTTCAAAAAAAATTATTTTTCCGATAAAGATAAGGGACGAAGATTTTATATATATAAAAAAGAAAATCTAGGATAGAGGCAGCAAAATTGACTCATAATACTTTAATGGAAATTTCACCGAAATTAAATGGAATTAGGTCCAGTTTGTCGTCTAGTGCGGCCACTTAGGGCTGTGGTGTTGGTCAAACAAAGGCTGCTGACCGTTGAAATTCCCGCCTTTCTACCCGCCTAACTCAAACTCATTACACATAAACCTCATTTTAAATTTAATTCTATTATAGCCATTAGGTTGTTATTATTTTATACAGGTGTATTAGGTTATTAATTATTATTTTATAATATTATATTATATTATTGTGAGATCCAAAAAATGTTACGAATAGTATTAGAGTCAAACACTAGACAATGTGTTAGATATTGGATCTTAAAAGAGAGTGGAGAGGAGAACAAAAGACACTAAACAGTGTGTTAGATGTTGGGTCTCAAAAAAAAGTGAAGAGTAGAACCAAACATTTCTAGACTTTGTCTCAAGGGACAAGATCGGTTAGCAAATTTAGGTTGCCTTTGTCCTTTAAGATGATAATAAATGGTCAATTCCTTCAAAAAAAATTTATGGTTGAATTATGTTATGTTATTTAGTGGAAGTAGAGAGAGAAAGACTACATTCAATGAAGCTTTTAGAGAGAGAGAGAGAAGCTAAGGCAGCTTCGGTGAAGCACGATGGGTTTGAAGAAAAACCTTCAGTTTTGACCCAAAGAATCAAACTTTAACAAAACCCAATATTTAATAAACCCTTTAGAAATGTACAAATGGTGGTAGGCGAGTTTTGTTCCCATTTGTTACTATAAAAAGCACTCAAACCGCCGCTCCTTTTTGTGCAACATTTTTTAACTCTCTTTCATTTCGAACACCCAAATTATCCGCCATGCCGATCAGCACCTCTGCAGTTTCAGGCCACACGGTGTGTGTCACCGGCGCCGGAGGCTTCATTGCTTCTTGGCTTGTGAAGCTCCTTCTCCAAAAGGGCTACACTGTTAGAGGAACTGTCAGAAACGCTGATGATCAAAAGAATGCTCATTTGAAAGAGCTGGAAGGAGCTAAAGAGAGGCTGTCTTTGTTCAGTGCTGATCTTCTTGATTTTGATAGCCTTAAAGCTGCCATTACCGGCTGCGATGGCGTCTTCCACACTGCCTCTCCGGTCACCGACGATCCCGTAACAACTTCATCCTCTTCTCTTCTATCCCATCCTACTCTTTAGCTTACTATCAAATTACCCACTCAAACTCTAATTTTTCAGGAAAAGGTGGAACAAGCCATAATTGGGACAAAGAACGTCATGGCTGCCGCTGCCGAAGCAAAAGTTCGACGGGTAGTGTTCACCTCGTCGATCGGTACCGTCTACATGAACCCTAACCGGAGCCCAGATGCAGTGGTGGATGAGTCTTGTTGGAGTGATCTCGAGTTTTGCAAGAACACTAAGGTAATTAACATAATAACTCTGTTGAACATAACTCTATGCTGGAAACACTCTCACGTTTTATTAGCATCAATCAAGAAGAGATTACAAGACACTTTATAGAAACTACTGTACTCTGCACTCTGTGTATTTCTTGAGATGAAAACATTTGTAGGATGCACCTAGACCATTTTTATAAAATGAATATACAATGGACTCATACAATTATTGGGCTAGTGATGATATTTTAACGAACCTCGAAAAAACATCAATATAACCTAACCCTGAAAATTGTTATGTACAGAATTGGTATTGCTATGCAAAGACAATAGCTGAACAGACAGCATGGGAAGTGGCAAAAGAACAAGGAGTGGATTTGGTTGTGGTGAATCCAATGCTGGTTTTGGGGCCTTTGCTGCAAGCTGGTGTGAATGCAAGCGTTGTTCATATAATGAAGTATCTGACAGGATCTGCAAAGACATATGTAAATGCTGTACAAGGTTACGTGGATGTTAAGGATGTTGCAAAAGCTCATGTTTTGGTCTATGAAACTCCTTCAGCTTCAGGCAGATACATTTGTGTGGAAAGCATGCTTCACCGTGGTGAATTGGTTGAGATTCTTACCAAGTTCTTCCCTGAATATCCCATTCCCACCAAGTAAGTTGGCTCAAATCTCGGACCCGAACATTCGATGACTAAAATTGTAATTTAACCGAAAAGGGAATAATTGGGTTTGTTTTGTAGGTGTTCTGATGAGGTGAATCCCAAGAAGAAACCTTACAAATACACTGTGGAGAAGCTGAAGTCATTGGGAATGGAGTTTACACCTATCAAACAATGCATATATGAAACTGTGAAGAGCTTACAAGAAAAGGGTCATCTTCCTCTTCCTTCCCAATTTCAACATTGATATTTTTCACGAGGCTTATATTCAAAAATTGTAATTTTTTTCATATTGGGAAATTGAGGGGAAATTGATTTGTAATTTAAAATTTTAATTACATGGATTCAAGCTTTTGAGTATGATCAGATTGATTCTGATCATAAAAGTTCTCTTTTTTCTTTGTGTATCACTTAGAGTAATCTAAGAACATTTTCGTCGAAGAACATTGGTTGGTTCATAGGAATAATTTTTCATTCTTAGAACTAGTTCAAGTGAAATAGATAAGATAGTCATAGTCATATCACAGGGGAATATCGGGCTATTAGGTGCTAAACATAGATTCTAAATCCTAGTATGAATCCTAGACATCGGGCGTAATAGATGATACTAGAACGTTTTTCATTCTTAAAACTAGTTCAAGTGAAATAGGTAACATGGTCATATCGCAGGGAAATGTCGAGCTATTAGGTACTAAATATGGATTCCAAAATCTTAGTATATCTTATCTTAGTATGAATCTTAGATATGAGGCATTATAGATGGTATCAAAGCATAACCTCTTCTCAAAGTAGGATGTGGTTGCTTCTCAAAGTAGAAGCAATTCAAGTCAAGTAGGTAACGTAATCATATAACAAGAAATGTAAGAAAATGTTCGGGTCATCAACGGCCAAATTTGAATTCCAAAATAATCAATTATACAAATCACGAATTTGCACATATCTAATAAACAACCATTCATTATCAGCTACTAATGTTGGGTTAAAAGTTGAAAGTTAAAATGTTAAGAACCCAAATACAATAGCAATAAAAGGTCATCGCTAAGAGGAGAGAAAAAAGAGGGGCAAAAAGGTATGTAATTACTTCTGTGCTAAAAGAACCCTAGAAAGCTCAAGCAGTTAACTTGGCTAGCAAGGCAGTATTGAAGGTAGAGTTGGGTTAAGCTGATTTAACTTTTCACCTTTCCAGTTGCCGTGCTTCTGAGTTTCACCTGTCTGTTCTATGTCCAAAACAAATGAAACCAGCATCCATCCAAAGGATCTGCCTTCCTTCCTTCTGTGGCTGAAGTTTTTTTTTATCTATAATTTGTCAGTTTACATCATTGGTTGTTCTAATTCTCTGAGGCAATTGCATGCTTACTGTTTCTTCGCTCGGGAGGTTATATGCTGATGTCTTGCTCGGCTCGATGCTCAATCGCTCACTTTCTTCTGTTGTTGGTGCCAAGAGATGAGTGATCTTCTTGGTCTTTCTCAAAACCAGATAAGCAATTCCAGCTAAATATAATGCCATGCCTGAAAATCCTAGTATCCCTATAAAGATGACTGCTGCGAGTTGGAGATCACTGTGAATAAGCACGTGGACGAAACGGGTTATGAGGTAGTATATATTTATAGCCATGATGAGGAAACCGATGATCCATGTCAGTATCGTAATCTGCATTTTGAAAATATATAGCGTAAGATTAGCTTGTTGTCAAAAGTGACCAATTTCATGGGACAACTACATTTGGTTGTCAAGGTAATTCGTAGGGCATTAAATCTCGGAGTAAGACTTGAACCTATTACAAACTATTCTTAAAAGGCTTCAAAATAGACTCGAATGAGCACCATTCAAGGCAAGAACTACTTTTAGCAAAAAAAAAAAAAAATCATGATTTTGGTGAATGATAGGAAGTACCATTTTAAATCCAACTTTTTTTTGTTATATAGAATTGAATGATGTTTAGCTCGAGCTTCATTGGGATCATCTAACAAAAGGGAAAAAAAACGATTGTTATAGAGAAGCTCCTTGGATTAGTCGAAATTACCGCGAGGGAGTTGACATGTGGACCCATCTTCGTCTTGCTGCTCGTAAACTTCAAAAGGGGAATGAGAGCAAAAGGGAGTTCAAACGACAAAATCATCTGCCGAAAGAGAAGATTACAGGGAGTCAAAATGCATTGGCCTTCAATTTTAAGCAGTAACTGATCAGCACACAACAATTGAACTATGGCAAGAAACTTAGATGGTGGAGGAAGTGCATTAAACTGTAAGCATATGAAATAAGAAATGTATTCAAGGACAGGAAGTATAAATCGTACCGATGAGATAATGATCAACTTCCCAGCCCCAGAAGGCCCACCAATGATTGCAACAATCAAACTAGGAACAATCGCTAAGCTTCGCGTTAAAAAGTTTCGGATCCATGGCATCAGTTTCAAATCGAGAAACCCCTTCAAATAAAAGGTGATATAAACAGGAATACGTCAAAGGAAAGTCAAAGAAACACAAGTATCAAAGAGTTGCTTGAAATCAAGCATTATGGAGTACCCACAAGTAGGGTCCTATTAATGATCATGAACATTCACAAAATTTTACGAACTCTGACGAGAGCAAGAATTCAAACTGTAAAGAAGCAGAGCTTTAACATGGAAAGAGGACCAGCAGAGTACCTGCATGACATACTGTCCTGCATAGGTTCCTGTTATGGTAGAACTCTGACCAGATGCTAACAAAGCAATGGCAAAAAGTTTGGAACTCCATTTACCCAATACATTCTGAAAAAAGGAAAGAAAACTTCTTATGAGGAACCAAATCCCATGAGGTAAACAACAAGGAAAAGGCAAAAGTTGGTAGATCAGAACATACTCTCAATAAAAATGAAGCTTCATTCAAGTCCAAGTCACTGCAGCTCATTTGGTCCTCCTTATTTAGATCTGGGGAATTGCAAACCGCGCCACTAACTGAAATGACGGCCACGTTAATGAAGAAAGCCACCAAAAGAGCAAAGCCACTCTCTATCATATAAAATCTGCAAGCTTCCTGTGAAGAAAATTTCGACTGTTAGTACAGTAGAATGTCGAGTTACAATTAAAATAATAAAGCAGCAACGAAAGCATTGAAGCGTGCTTTTATGGAGTTAGGTGATACATATCAAGTGAATACTTCAAGATTTTAAACTCATTCCAAAAATTTTAAGCTTAGAGGAACGTGCAGATTAGATTAATGAAGACGAAACCATCACCTTGATGCCAGGAACGGATCGGGGTATTTTCCTAGAGAGCACCAGTGCAGAGTGAAGAAAGAGATTGTGTCTGCAGAACAAGAAGTTATACTAAGAATATTGAGAAGTATTAAGGGGAAAAATTGAAGGCTAAGAATGTAGTTTGAGCAGTAAGAGACATACGGCATAACCATAGCACCAAGAAGTGAAATTGCAAGACCAGTAGCACCACTTCCTTTTAATTGAGGGACAAATAACCCATAAAAAATTTCTCCGACATCGGGCTGTGCGTAGCCCAACTCCAGAAAGAAGCAAATTGCAATTGTCAATACAAGAAATGCAATCAAGAATTCGAGCTTTCTAATCTGCAAAGTGAATAGAAATGCAGTCAAGGAGAGCGTTTAAGGTAGCCAAAGTCTAGTTATCTAAAATTATGCTATCTCCTTGGCTATCCTAGCACAAACGGGAGAATTATAGCCGAATGCAAATATCGAAGCAATGTTTATAATCTCTACTGCTGAAAGATAAGTAAAATCCAGAAAAAAAAAGTAAATCTCGAACTACCCCATATTGCTGCAGCGCAAGGAGGAGTAGTGTACTAAGCCCTGTCAGAAGAACCCCGCACCAAATAGGAATGCTGAAGAGCATATTCAATGCAAAAGCGGTTCCTATAACTGGAAACAGAAAGGAGGAGATTTGAGAATAACTTCGACAACAAACGAGGATTCTATGCCAATGAATGTCATGAACCAGATACAGAAGAAAACACCTGTAATAGCAACTCTAAACGCTAATCTTCCACAGAGAAAAATAATAATAATAATAATAAACCATCCAGCATTAGTACACAAAATTCAAAAGATAAAATACGCGTCCTATGACAAAGAGTATTCTGATGAGACTGCTATTAGGACAGAATTAGTTAGTAGTGTTATTGGGGTAGTGAGGTACGATCAAAATTAGCTGAAGAGTTTGTTAATATAATTTGTTATAACTAGTGGGTTAGAAAGGATGAAGGGAGGAATTGATTTAGTTGGCTTAGGCTTCAGTGAGAGTACTCAAGAGAGACGGTCCAAGTACGAATTACTTGGGTTATCTTTATCTTGTAGTTCTGTTAACTTTCATATTTCAATATTTGGTTCTATCATATTCTTCACTCAACTATTCGATTTAGATTACATTACTGTACCTTCGGGAATATCACATGCAACAATTGCAATTTCAGCAAGGATCCATAGGATGAAATTTTGCACCTTGGGGTACTCAGCTTTACAGTGCTCTGCTAAATGTTTTCCTACACTTACCAAAAAAAACAAGAAAGATGCATAAAAAGTCTTGAAACTATACAAATATCACAAACTTAGAGAAGAGGAAAAAGTTACGCAGAGTTATTGCCTGTGACAACTCCTAGATTTGCTGCTAAAGATTGTATGACAAGGGCGGCGCAAGAAGCCAGTAATATGATCCAAAGCAACTGTGTAAGAAGAAGTAGTGTTAGTTGTCAGGTCCAATAGGAACGTAACAAGCACACACAATTCAGACGGCAAGACAGGACTTTGGTCTTATGCACACCTCGACTATTCTCACAAGACACCGTCTAACCCTACTATAACAGCCCAAGCCCTTCACTAGCAAATATTATCTGCTTTGGCCCGTTACGTATGGCCATCAGCCTCACGGTTTTAAAACGCGTCTGCTAGGGAGAAGTTTTCAAATCCTTACATTAAATGTTTTGTTCCCTCTCCATCTGATGTGAGATCTCACACCTACTACATTGGTTGTTATGGAAACTCAAAGGATAATAATCTTTGCTAGGTAGCCACTATGACTTGAACCCTTTCCTTTGAACCCTTTATTATTTACATAGCTCTTATTAATCACTAGATCAACCGTGGTGGTTGAATGTCCTGTGCCAAAAGAAAACATTTCGAAATTTTCTTGTTCTGAAATTTTTCTCGAGTAGGTTTGTCCTATACTATGACAGTTTCAATAGTTGAATAGAATGATGTAAATGAAGAAGTCTATGGTGAATGGTTCATCTCAGCAATTCATAGCAACATATTCAGTTTATTACTCAATAATTGATCCATCTATATAGAGGGATGCGGGTTAAAAAAATGCAAAATGATATCAAAATGTGATCTTTAACCACAAAATACCATTTACGAACCTCATACTTGTACTGTGCTCCAGATTGTAGATCAGTTTCAACTGAGAAAAACCATACTAAATCTTCAGAATCCGATTCATAATGGAATAAAGGAGCCAAACAACAAATCCGAAAGTGGTGTCCAAATCAAGAAACTACAGATCTTACAATTTCCAGGATCAATATAAGCAATAGAAACAAGAAATCCCGGGCCCATGTATGCAAAAAGGTTCTTCCAGCTTTTTTTCTGCACATAAGACGCAACAGTAGCTCACAATTGAAAAAGTTCCTTCAGCACTTCTGTTCAAAGCCAATATTTCATAGCGTACAAGTTGTTTAGACTTGAACACCGTCTCATTCAAAGTACAACTAAATGACTAGTTCACCAATAATTTGTAAATTCTTAAGTATTACTCATCAAAACAACAAAAATTAAAGCTCACATCAGGAACAACAATCTGATCAGTTTCTGTGTTCTCGATCAATGGCGCGTGCGAAAAACTCTCATCTCCAGCCCTAGAAAAGAACTGTGGCTGCCCAGAATTAGGCCCTCCAGCAGCCATTTGATCGTTCCTCTTCTTTTCCCCCTCTATTTGAGAAGATATTAAATCTGAAGGAAAGAAAGCTCAGAGTAAACGAACAGACACAGAAATCAAGTAAAACGAGAAATTAAACGAAATAAAGTAAGCATGGACTGAGATAAGGAAGAATTACACAAAATTCAGAACTAAAAACTAATCCCCTGTTCCAATATTCCATAGCAGAATAGGTCAAAAGCTCGAAAGAAAATCGGATTGAGATAATCTAATCGAAGAATTGGGAATGAACGCATTTAGAGTTGCTAAATTTTCTGAAATAGTTTTGAAAGAACCGAAACAGGGAATTGAGGCAAGCAATCCGGAAAGAAAATGAAATTGGAGAAATGGATCTCGAAGAACGAACCTTAATAATCCAGAGAATATGTGAGGGGCGGTGAAGATGGAGGGTGGGTTCGATAGGCTGGTGGTCAGAGCTCCCGCTTTGTTTACTCTTCCAGACTTCTCTCTCCTTTAAATAGCCTCCATGCCTTCGTTTCTCTCTCCTCCCTTTTTCTGTTCAGCATCATTTATGCAAATAATTACAAATAATATGTATAATTTAAGGCATCTCTAAGGTGTAAATTGGGCTAATCATTGATCATTAGTTGCTGTTGGTTAATTATAGTCATGGGAACATTTTTCATGTCCAACAAAAGGAAAGAAACGCCTAAAATTATGGGATTTGATAGAGATTTGAATTAGATTAAAAATAAGATTAGGGCGTGAGTGTTGATTGAAAATCTCGAGCTCTAATGAGAAAGATTGAAAAGTAATAATCAAGCATCCGTGTAACAGCCCAAACTCATTGCTGGTATTGTTTTGACCCGTTACGTATCGTTGTCAACCTCACAATTTTAAAATGCGTTCTAGCTTATGGGAATATGTAACAGGTTAAAGCGGACAATATTTGATTGAGTTGTTAAAAATAGTACGGCCATAGAGTGTGCCAACGAGAACGTTGGGCGGTGAATTGTGAGATTTCACATTGATTAGAGAGAGGAACGAAAAATTCCTTATAAGAGTGTGGAAACTTCTTTTTAGTAGACGCGTTTTAAAACTGTGGGGCTGATGACGATACGTAACAGGCTAAAACAGGCAATATCTACTAGCAGTGAGGTTTGGCTGTTACAATCAGAATGCTACGACACTCCACTTTTGTTTAGAAATGGTTGAAACTTTCAATTGATGAGCTCGTTGTCTTTTCAACATGTCCTTTAATGTCCAAGGTGTTGACAATAAAAAATGGTATTTCCATCCTTTTGACAATGTATGAAGATAGAGATGCAATTGAGCGCCTGAATTTGTTGAATATATGTTAACCTATCAAAGTTTAGATTTTTATGATTGTCCTTTACGAGCTGAGAAACACAGGTGTCGAGAAATTTGTGTGGAGGAAAATGGTGCAACCCGCAACGTAAGATGGTCTTAAAACACAGTATGTTGCCTCTTATAACTCATTTTAGAACCCGCAACTTCAAATCTAATTATATGTTTTCAAAGTGATTATAGTTTCAATTAAGTAGTCCAAAACTGAATTTGATACTACAAAACTTTACCTCTAAATTATTAAATTTTAATATGCATTTAATTTCATACCCTCACCTAGTTAGGGTCCATCCACACAAGGAGGTCCTCTTTAAATGAGAAAATTTAATATATTCTTAAATTAATGGTTGACTATTTAATAGAGTTTTTTTTTTTTCTTTTTTCACAATTTATTTTGTTTAAAAAAATCAACCGTTACATTAATGGTACATTAATTTTGTAATGAAATATTTATTTATACGTAAAAAAAATTTATAAGTTAGATAATTATATTATATGGTAGATAGTTATATCTGATAAAATTAAATAATATAATTTTGAAAATGTACTTTTATATTCTCTCAGTACATATTTATAGTCATCAATACAAAACTTTAGTCAATGTTCACTTTGCATTTTTCTATCATATTCTTTGTGTTCGTCTAGTTCGAGTGTGTGGTGTGCAATCCAAAACTCAATTTTCTAGAAAAAAAAATATATTAAAATCATAATATTGCCTATACGTAATCTAATCTACTAGAGTTAGAGAAGTGTTAACCACTTTTCATGACTAATATGCCTTTTATGAAAAAAAGCATTCACGTCTCATGTTTTAAACTTTTCTGTACGCTTTAAAATCTTAATTTCTATATATAAATTTCTCGATTTAATACAAACCAACCGATCAATTACTCTCTCTCTATTGCCCTCTACATATGCAAAATCTATCAGTAATTTAACCTACTCGATCAAGTTGTACCCAGTTCATTCACTCGAGCTATCAAATTTGACTACATAAACTCCATTTTTCTACACCAAAGTGAAACGGATTTCAAATTTGGATTTTTCAAAGGTCAAAAACTTTTTCAATTTCCACGACCATCCTCCAAAAATAAAATTTTGAATTTTCTTCTAAAACAAAAGGTATGATATAAATTAAAAAAAAAAAAGAAAAAAAGAAATCACCCTTTTTTTATTATCCAAACACATGGCATTTTTCAAAGAGATTCTGTGGACCAATAGGAACTCGGCATCTAAATCTGTGGCCCATTAAACGTAGGGTTCAGATCATTCGTTATACAAGAAACGAACACACCCGATTCCTACTCTTTTTTCCCTCTAAATTTGCTTTAAAAAGCATAATTCTTAACGTGTGGCGGCCGTATGCATAACGCACTCCTCTACCCTCCCACGTTCCGCCACGTCACCAAAAGCTCCCCTCTGGGCCCCACTCCCTAAGTACAATTCATTAAAAAACATGATACTGACAAAATATCAGTGTCCGATTTGATTTTGAACCGACAATTGAAAAATTAATTTTTTTTTCCCTAAAATAACATTTTTAGTAATGTTATTTCATTTTAGTTTTATATTTTCTCATTAGTTCATATATTTTAATAAAATTTTGCTAAATTACTAAAAAAAAATCTTGTATTTTATCTTTAAATTACTATAATATTTTAAAAATCATTTAAAAAAATGTGAATTTCAAAATTTTAAATTGTTTATTGATAAATTTTATAAAAACAAAAGTGTAATAGTTCAAACTGAACGCTATATTAAATTTAAAATTATAAAAATATTATATTTTATTGATGATTCGAAAATGAATGGTCGATGAGGGATTTGTTTTTTTCTCTTTTTGGGCAGCCACTATGTTTGAAAAATAGAGGAAACAAATTGAATTCATATTTATTCGTTGTGTTTTTGTTTTTTTAATGATTTATTTTCTCAATTATTTTCATAAAATTATGAGAATATTTATCAGTTACTCAAATTTGAAAGGGCAGATCTAGATAGTTTTGATATTAAAATTAGTATGAGAAATAAACCCATTGACCCGATAATAGTAAATGGCATACTTTAGCTACGTCGATATTCTAAATCGAAAAAGTTGTTTGATTGAAAAACGAGAAATATGCCGTACTTATCCGTGCTAACGTGATTTATTACTTAGACCAAAGGAGAATATGGGTCTACCTTTTATCGAAAAATTGTGATGTCTACATTAAAAATTCGGCATATATGCAATCACATCATAAAGTTATAGATATGAAAGATGCTTAACATTTTATGATCATCGAGATTGGAGAGTTGGAAGAATCTTTCTATCTTCTTATATAATTTTATTATAAATTATATTATTTAGATTGACTTGAGCCTAGAACAATCTATGACAGATTAACATAGCATTTTCATTCTATAACGGGCCGATTTTTGTCGGATTCCCTCAATCCATAGGCCTGCGGGGCCTGTCTTTCATCATAATGGGCTCTCTCTTTTTGCTACTTCTTCTTAATCACCCAACTTTTCAACTTAAAAACTTAGATTAACTAAACTCGTTAGAACAATTAAAATATTTGATTCGAGATCCCGATACGAACGTTTTAAACATGTAATACAAGAATGTATAAAATAATTTAAAGGTTTCTATTTAAGCGTGCGTTATTTTTATATATCGTAAGTCTGTTTAGATATGCATCACTTTCATATACATTGACTCTGCTTGTATCACTTTTATGTACTTAAAATCTCATCACTTTTATATCGTCTAACTTGTTTCGATATCTCATGACTCATACGAGCATATGTGTGTATGCGATTATGCATGAAAAACATCGATAAAACATAATTCTTTAGCATATATACTACATACTTAAATTCCTTCCCATCGTAAAATGTTCATGACTATATTTCAAACAATGGAATAAATTAGTGTTATATTACTTCCAAAAGTAGAAATTAATATCGATATTACTTAATTAATAATTTTAATTTTTTTTAACAATCTTATAAAATAATTTTATAATTTGGAAAGGGGTTATTATGCAATATTTTATAATTAATTTGTCCTTTATTTATGTCCATATATATTACATGATGTTGATTATATTGGAAGTGACTGTAATTTTTAAAATAATTAGATAATTAAAATCCAAATAATAATTATAATAAATAAAATAAAATAAAATAAAATAAAAACTACTGTTTGACTAATTTGGCCTTATATGATTAAATGATCAACTGTTTCAAATTCGGCTGTCGCCCGTTCACACGCGTCGGTCGTTACTTGTTTGACCATCACTTTCTCGCACGTGCCATCAACTACTTTTCATTAATATATATATATTGATTTTCTTTTTTTCACTTTCAATTCAATTTCAAATTCTAAACCCAATAAACTCAATAATTCAAAATATTTTTAATTATTTGTATTATGATGGAGTATATAACCAATGTTAAAAAATCAGGGAAAGACATGTATTATACGTCAATAATTTATAAAAAAAGCTCAAATATTTAAAAAGAAAAATACTCGAGAGTCTCGTGTTGTGTGAGATTTAATTGGTTTATTATGTAAGAACAGTTAAGTTGTACATTCGATAAATAAGAAATTTACGATAATAAAAACACGAGATTGATATTAATTTACTCGGGAATAAAGAAAATGAAGAACGAGGACATACTATAAATAAGATATCTTAAATATAGTTTACAAGTCTTTTTCTCTATTTTATTTTATTAAAAAAAAAAAAAAATCCAGCCGAAACCAGTTTCCATTTATTCATGAACCAAAACATAGGCTGAAAATAAGTGCAAATTCAATGGACCACAACCAAACTATAAAAACATTAGGGAAATTATTCTTTTTTTTTTTTTTCCCTTCATTTTATAATAAAGTTTTAATATAATAATATTTATTTTTTAAACTTTAAATTTTATATGTAATTGATATTTAAAATTTTATTAAAATATTAAATATAAAATTAAACTTTAGTTTAGTAAATAAAAAAATGGGTTAAAGTTTATAATAGTATTAAGAAACAATATAATATTATTATATTGTTTGGTCATGGTCAAGCCCATCGCGAAGACTTAGGAATGTTAGGACGGCGTCCTGTCGAAATCAATGTTCTTAACGTACGTGCCTCTCCGCCCAACTTCTATTTTGACTTTTCTCTATCCTTGTCGGATTACCCCGAGTTGCATGCATATTTTGTACAACTTTTTTTCTCTCTCTCTCCATGTCATGCTTATTTTTCTCTATTTAAGTTAAAATCAACGTGCCCTTTACTCACCGTCATTCTAAAAAACACTCTCTCCCCCCACCTCCTATCTTACCTCAGCTCCTAGTATAGAGTTAGCACGAGTTTCTTTCTCGAGTCCTATCTTGATTGTGTACTTGATAAAAGAGCCTTATAAACCGCTCACTGGCCTATTATATAGGCTAGATGTCCTCTAAAAAAAAATTATGACTTGATCTATAAAGTGCTATCAATAACAAAAAAACAAAGAGGTCTCTATAATTGTTGTGTTTGCCCATTTCATAGTGAATGAGACAACACGTTCGATATTCACTAGAAAATAATAAAAAATTATAATTTATTGAAAAAATATTTTAATTTTAATAATAATTCTAAATTCTCGTGATTATCTTATTTTTTTAAAAAGAATATTTAATGAAAGATTAACCACCATTTATAAGATTCATTGAACTTCAAATAATGGTGAACATAATTCATACCAAAACATTGATAATTTGGATGATATTCTTTAAACGTTATTTAAATTTCATTTATTCAAAGTATGTCAACATGGATGAATGCATGAATTTTATCGTTGGTAACATTATATTAAAAAAAAAAATGAAATGAAGCCAAGTAGCCATTGGATTTCACAATAAATTATTAAAAATAGGAAGGGTGATGTGGCGAGCCACGTAATATAATACTTGGATGGATATGGATGAATGTTCTCATTCCAAATGTGCAAGACTTTGTTTAAATAATTATCTCATGCATGACATCATGGAGCTTTGTTTTGACTGGTAATCCAGCATTTTAAATTATTTTTTATTTTAAAAAAATAATCTAAATCTTGTCGGTCCAGTTAAGTCAATCCCACGTGTTGCAGTGTTGGGTCTTGTTTGGCACTTCTAAAATTTTCCTCATTACCAATTCATCTAATTAATTAAATTAATTAATTTCTCCATTTTTATCGAGTTAATCCAACTTTTTTCGTGCTTATCAAACATAGAAAATTCATGTTTTTTTTTTTCCGAAAGAAAGTCTTCGATCCTTTTTTATTTCAATAATGACGGTCAAGAATCCAATAGCTCCTCTGATAACCTCCGATTATCCGAATTTGGTTTTAAATGAAAGCCTCTAGATAAGGTCCTACCTAATTTTTATGATTTTTTTTTTTGAGGGTTATAATTTATTGTTTAAAAGGAAAAAATACAAAATAATAATAATAATAATGAAATGGGTTGGCTAGAAAATGAGATGGTTGAAAAGGTGTGAAAATTTAGGGTTAAAGTCAAAGTCAAGTCTTGGTGTTGTTTCTACCATGCTTAGGCCCAAAGGCTAATTATGGATTTTTACGTATCCATTTTCCATGCCAATGCGACGCCGTTTTTTCCTCCATTATGTTTTTGCTTTAATACCAGAAATTTCCACAATTAACAATTAATTTATTATTATATACTAACAATTAACTTATAAAACGCCCAAATAATTAAAGCTTCTACTATTTTATTTCACTGTTTCATAAAGCTAAAAATAAAAATTATTAAAAAAAAGAAAAAAAAAGTCCACATTGGTAGACGGGCAGGTCCGCCCACTGTCTCTCCCCTGTTCAATTTTTGTGTCGGTATGATGTGGATTATTATAATTAATAATTAATTTATTATTGTAGATTACTATCTAATTAAAATAATTATTGAATGATAAAAGTCTCACATCCCTTAATTTAGAGAATGATGATAGATTTATAAAAAAAAAAAAAATAATCTCTCAATTGGTATAAGGCCTTTTGGGTAGCCCAAAGCAAATCCATGAAAGGAGTCAAGCCTCCTCGAAAGCACGAAGACAGTAAAAAATGACTAAACTCTAAAGGAATCGAGCCTCAATTAAGGGGAGACATGTTTAGGAAATGATCATAATCAAAGAATACTCTCTCCATTGGTACGAGACCTTTTGGGGAAGCCTTAGCAAAATCATGAGAGCATATGCTCAAAGTAGACAATATCATACCATTGTGGAGAGTTGTGTTCATCTAACCACCGTTAAATTTGAAACAAAATAAAATTTCTAAAATAATTTATATGATATTGTCAATCCTTTTACAAAGTTTTAAAAATGTCAAATGGAATATATTTTTTCTTAAAATACGATAACCCATGAGTATAATAAAAAAGAATAATAGAGTGATAAAATAAAATTTTTATTTAAAATGTGCATTTTAATGATATATATATTTTGCTAATAAGTCAGATTATTTAAAATGCACATTTTAAATAAAATTTTTATTTAAAATTTGGATATTAATGGAAAAAAAAAAAAAAAAAAAAAAAAAAAAAAAAAAAAAAAAAAAAAAAAAAAAAAAAAAAAAAACAAGCATTGTGGGTATTTTTTGGATTTATTATGGTTAGGGGATGAATCTAAATGGAAAAAGAATAATAATTAACAAATAAAGGTTTAAAATGTGGAATTCATGGCATATTTTGTCAAGAGACAACTTTACCCCTTTTCACCCTCTTTAATAATATTGCCTTGGTGGGCCCAACTAGCCAATTTATTTATTTAAATATTATATTTGGTCCTTAAAATTTCAATATCTTAAATTATTTTATTGATAAAATGAATATTTTAAAGTTAATAAATAAATATTTTACATCCATAAATAAAATAGGCTAATGATTATTTTAGCGCGTTTTAAATTTTATTAAATGTTTTTATGAAATAATAAGAATGTCAATTTATTTGGGGAAGGTTCGTACTCCGTGCCTCGTTACAAATGTCGATGTCAAGACAACAATAAAATATAAGTAAACTGATGTGGTCACGTGACTATACCGTGTGAAATTTATTATTATTATATTTTTTAAAAATATAATAATAATAAAATGACTATACCGTGTCCACGTGATGTGGTCACGTGGCTGTTTTATTTGTTTTTTTTTTAAATAATTAAAATGACGCGTGGGAAGTATTTTGAAAACGTGCGGAAAAGAGGGCTCCAGTTGGATCTTAGTCTCTTAGACGATAGCTGGAGACTGATATCTGGTCAACATATCTCTTCCTAATTTCATTTTTTTTTCTTTTTAATTCTATTCCCCTTTTAAATATTTATATTTCACAATTTATTAGATTATGAATATTAAATATATTAATTATACATGTAATAATTAAATTTAAATTCGAGATTGTTATTAGGTATATTATCCATTTCTAATTAATACGAGGCATTGCTCATATTTTCAACCAGAATTTCATTAAATTTGATTGAGCTCATGGTTTTATTCTTGGAAGAAAAAAGAAGAAAATAAATGGATTGACCTTGTCAACCAAATGGATAGTTTTAGTTGACCAAATTAATTAGTCAACCCCAACTTAATCCGTCGTTGGTTATCAACCAAGGTGTAATATTAAGAAGACTGAAAATTAAATTTGAGAGAATTAGAGAAATTCAGATATATATATTTTTAATGTCGTGAAGAAGTGTGAGGGAGATAAGTAAAAACCCTAAATGGACCCCACAAAAACATTGATTACAGTTTAAATTCAACGATGAAGCACAGGTTTTGCTTGACTTTGAAGCCCCAACTAGCTCAACCGGCAGAAGCAGCGCCCACCAAATCAGAACCTCACCATGAGTTTTCCTTCAAATTGCCATTGCCAGCTTGTTTTATCCTATTTCTCTCTCTTTCCATGGACTTTCCTCTCTCTTTCTCTCCGACCCACCTCTATATATTCTCTCCTTTCTCTCTTTTGCCTCCTGGAATCGCTTTTGCACTGTGAAATAACTTCTGGGTCTCCCTCAAACAGAGGAAAAATCGAACCTTTTCTTGTTTTTTGACTTGGGTTTTTGGTGTTTCTTCCTTGCCTATGGCTTCTTACTCCTCTTGGTTGGATTCTGTTGACACTTCTCTGGATCTCAATCTTCATCCTTTAAGATTCTCCGGCGAAGCTCCGGTGACGGTGAGTACTCAAGCTCTGTCCTTGTTTATACTCAAATGGGTTTTTTGTTTTCTGAATTGGGTTTCTTTTTGTTTTTGCAGAAGGAGAGGAATTATTTGGATCATGAGACGGTTTCTGTGAAAGAAGAGGTATTGATTTCAGTTTCTTGGTAGAGAATTTGGGTTTTTTTTAATGCTTTTTTGTTTGGGGGATGATTTTGATGATGGGTTTGTTGTTTTTGATCTCAGACGGGTGCTTTAATGGAGGAACTGAAGAGAGTGAGTGCAGAGAACAAGAAATTAACTGAAATGTTGACTGTTGTGTGTGAAAATTACAACACTTTGAGAGGTCATCTGGTGGATCAAATGAACAAAAATGGAGAAAAGGAAGTTTTTTGTTCGAAGAAGAGGAAATCTGAGAGTAGTAACAATAATAATATGGTTGGAATTAATGGGAATTCTGAGAGTAGTTCAACTGATGAAGAATCATACAAGAAGCCAAAACAGGAAACCATTAACAAATCTTCTAAAACCACTCGAGTTCAAGTCAAAATTGGTGCTTCTGATTCAAATTTGGTGAGCTTTTACACAGAAAAAGTACCCAATTTTGTAATGGAAGATGGGGTTCTTGTATGAAACTTACCTGTTGGATTTTGCAGGTTGTTAAAGATGGATATCAATGGAGGAAATACGGCCAGAAGGTCACTAGAGATAATCCTTGTCCTCGAGCTTATTTTAAGTGTTCTTTTGCTCCGACCTGCCCTGTCAAAAAGAAGGTAAATTTTTTAATTCAAAGCATTGTTCGAACTTGAAGGATTTTTTGGCTGATTGGAATGAATTTGCAGGTTCAGAGAAGTGTAGAAGATCAGTCGATTCTGGTAGCTACGTACGAAGGTGAACACAACCATCCACAATCTTCTCTGATGGAAGCCACCTCCGGCACTACTGCTGCTCGCTGCGTCGGCCTAACTCCAGCGGCGCCGACAAGTCCCCTCGACTCGAGAAAGCCCAAATCACCCTCTGAAGCTAAAACCACCTTCAGCCCAAGATTTCACTCGCCGGAAATGCAACAATTTCTCGTTGAACAGATGGCGTCTTCATTGACGAAGGACCCCAATTTCACGGCGGCGCTGGCGGCGGCGATTTCGGGGAAGATTTTCCCACATTAGTTAGTTATAAGAAAGTGGGACTATTTTCTTTGAGATTAATCTGTAAATACACATTGAAAGAAGAGAAGATTTGAAAGATTTTAGGAGATGAGGAAGATCATTTTGAGAATTTTGAAAAAGAAAAACGTTAGAAAAAAAAGTGCTGTAACTCGATGTTGAGTCACAAAGATAAGGGAAAAATGACTCGTAAAGTCACTTTCTTATCCAAAAAGGAACGAGATTCAAATTGGATAATTGGTTCACGATTTTGGGGTGTTCGAGACGTTCTTATTTCCAACTGTAATGACGAAATTCTTGAAGGAAGCAATTGAATGAATTTGACAGGAATGAATTTTATAAAAGTTTAGAACCAAAATTAAAATTATAATTAACAACAAAAAATGGTCAAAAGAGGGCAACCAATAAATGACCTTAAAAGCACCTAAACCTAGCATCCTAATAGACAAGACAAGCATCCAACATGGTCAACAAAAGCAACAAATCTAGCCACAATGTTTGAAAAGGTAACCATTCAACCAACCATATCTTGCGCTTAAATCTTGCCACCCTTGTCTTGAATCACATGAAAAATCTTTTAAAGAAAAGTCTCGTAATCGAACATCAAATGTTTCAAAAGGAAGATTTTCATTTCGGATTCTGTAAAGCGAAGAACAGGGTCCACAAAGTCCTCTTGTAGCACGAAACGTTGTCAAGAGTTTTAGTTCCTGCTTGCTTTTAAACTACAAAAACAAAGCTGTTGAAGTAAATCACAAAGAACGTAGACAATTTTCTAGATTTCAAGTTTCCAAAAGAAGAATTGGCATAATAATGAAGAAGAATCCACAAAGTCGGTGGAAAAACTCTTATTCCTAGTAGTTCTACAAAGTAATGGCAAAATCATAAAGTTGAGGATAGCATCTATAACTCAACCCGGGATTTCATTAAAAAATTCAAGAGCTTTGATTTTGGGGATGTTATTAACGAATGCTTGAAGCAGCCTCCACAGACCACATGTTGATCCAATGTTTGGCTGTTCCAAGATTAGTCTCTCACAAATTTAACTTTGAGGCTTTGCTCGAGTTGTGAGATCTTCCTTGGATTCAACTTGCATCATGAAGACGTATCCCATTGTCCAGAGCAGAATATATTGCAAGGGTACCCAAGAAAGACAAGCAAGAAGGCTCAAAATGCTTCCCACGTACTGAGGATCTTTTATATATCCAAATGGGAACTCTGTTACCCACGGAATATTCTTCCCAAATCGTACTCCATAGTAAACACCTGCTTCACCGAGTAACTGGTAGACCCTGTTGCATGGCAGAAGATAAAGAAAATATTACTTTAACTTTACAAGCCACAGCTGTCGATATAGATTTTAGTCAATCAAGTCTGGAAAATTGCAGCAACATTGTAAAAATAAACCACCAGCAGTGCCTGGAATAGTGAAGTTACATAACAGTTATGAATGTCCTAAACCTTCAATCTTGATTTGCACTAGTGCTTTAGTTCCTTCGCTTTGAATGGAAACTCACGCAGCTGATTTTGATGCTTAGTCGATTCTTGGATGGGGGAGTCCATGTAAAACCCGAGCCCATTGCTAGCAAGAAATTGTCCTCTTTGGACTTTTCCTTCAGGGTTTTCCCTCAAAGTTTTAAAACACGTCTGTTAGGGATAGATTTTCACACCTTTGTATAAGGAATGCTTCATTCCCCTTTCCAACCGATGTAGAATCTCATAATCCACCTCCTTGGGGGCTCAGCGTCCTCACTGGCACACCTCTTTGTGTTTGGCTCTGATACCATTTGTAACAGTCCAAGCCTACCACTAATAGATAATGACCTCTTTGGACTTTCCCTTAAAGGTTTCCCCGCAAGGTTTTAAAATGCACCTGTTAGGGAGAAATTTCCACACTCTTATAAGAAATGCTTTGTACTCAAATACGGTAATTTTTCATTATAGTTTTAATTCTATTTTCTGATTGGATCTATTTTGATTTCTGCCTATCATCTCGTTTCCGAATTTGCAAACATGAGCATAAGAAATGAACATTCAAGTAAGCCTAGTTATGTGTACTTTATGATATATTAATAGTAGTACATGGCGTGTTTTGTGAAGACTAATAACCAAATGAGACAATTGTACTGGGAAAATGGTGTCTATAAAGCTTGTTTGACTATTTCAAGCATTACTTTTCTATTTCTGAAATCAATGAAAAAGGATCTGAGAGGAAACAAAGTTCGACATCATCAAATTGAACATTCTTTAACGATTCCTCAGGTACTTAATCCTTACCAGCCACCTATTAATGTGTGACGTTGTTAACCATTATGATAAAGCTCATAAATTGCAATCATTTTCGTCTTTAAGGTACACAGAATCCTAGGCATGGAAATAGTTTTTCAGCTACAGAGTTTGAATTGCTGAGATGCCTACTTCGATGCAACAAGCTCCCCAGGTTTTCACTTTTTACAATTGCACTCTGTAATTGATAGGGGCAAATCTTGATATTCTAGATTGTAAACCCGTCCGCCTCAGTTCCTTTCTTTTTTTTTTTTTAATTGGAAACAGGTCTTCATTAACACCACAAGAAATACACTAGGTGCTTGACTCATCAACTTAAATGAAACTAGTGGAGGATTAAAAATTAGCTCCAATTAGAATTAATAAAGAATATATGTATATATACAAACACACACACACACACATAAAGTTACAAAAATATTTTAATAGGCAACTTTATAGAACGAATATAAAGTGAAAAGCATTCCAAGTTTCTTCACTTTCAATATCGACATCCTTGAAAAGTCGGTAATTTCCCAGATAATCCCTAAATAGCATTTTCAGAAAGGACTAACTTTTTGTACGATCTCAAGAGTTGTTCAAGGCCAAAGGGAAAACATTCTTAGGGAAACACAAAACCAAGTTGCATTCTTGAAAAAGGGATAGCAAGGACGAGATCATTGGTACTTGGAAGCACAATGTAGCAATCCTATCGTGGAAAGAGGATACCCCGAACAATGCATCCAACATAAATAGGCTGTAGGATGTATCTATTGTCCTTACACAGATTGCCCAATAAGGAATTTCGGCATCTATAGGATGTGACCAGTAGTTTGAGACGTTTTCTGATTTCATTGGAAGTGTGTGAAAGAGGAAGGCCTTCCAAAATAAAGAATGCGAGCAAAATCTTGACCTTCAGGTTTCTTTATGGCTTTCCTATACTAAATAATTTTGTAATCATCTTTTGACAAAGAATTTCGTAATCGTCTTAATCTTTTGTTTGTGACCAAACAGATAATTTGTCTGTGATCATTCAAATCTCTAGGTCAAGCTGGTCTATCTCTCCCATCAAGTTCTTCAATCTCTAATAATTTCTTTTGGTGCATTACAACCAATTCTTATCCACAAAAGGTAGATAACCTTTTCACATGTACATCCAAAGAATGGTTAATTGGAGTATTGAAGTCATTGATCTGATCCACAGTTTCTAGAATTAAAATAGGTACTGAATTAGAGTTTCACTTCTCTCTGATGAAGAAACAAAATCAACTTAAGTTACAATGAATTTGGGATACCTTTAGAATCTCCATTTAAAATTCTAAAGACACTTTTACATCAAATGCTTCTACTTTCTATACACGGCTCAAAAGACATCCCAAACTTAAAATTCCTCAAAAATCAACCCAAATTCACAATTTCAGAATGCTAATCATCGTCTTCAAAACCAATAGGCATTAAATTCAATCTTAACAACCACATTTTCTCGAGATTTAATGGCTTATATCACTTTCATAATACTTAGTAAACAAAAACTACTAATAAATTGCCACTTCTACCTCCAGATCGCAAATATTCTCTCAACAGACATGCACAAAAGTGATGGTAAATAAGCAACTACACTCGAAGCAGACATCAGCACATCAGAGAGAAAGAGAGTGAGACCTGAAGTTCAAGAACTGTCCGAAGGCCATGAGAGGCCAGAAGTAGAGAGGCGGCGGCCACGAGAAGGAGGAGACATGGAGGATGGAGAGGAACTGTAGCAGCTTGAGGAAAACCGATACCTGAGCCATCAATTTGGAAGGCTCGCACCATTTTCCGCACAAGTTCACCCACAATTGTGGCCGAGTCCATAACAAGTAATAGTATGGAAATGGCAACAAAACTCCAATTACAGCCAAAACGTCCATTTTGATAGCTTTACCGCCGGATTATCTCTCCACTTCCTCAGGAAGAAGAAGATTCAGAAATCTGAACAGTCCTTGCGATCGATAGACGCTGGAACAAATATGGGCTATTGGCCCTAATGGGCCGCTGTTAATGGGCTCTAATATGGGCCCAAGTTTTGGGCCAGAAAAGGTTGGACCTTTTTTAGTGGACCTAATTCTAAATTTTCTACCATAATTTTAAATGACCAATTTTTATAGGATTATTATTTCAGCTATTTTTATTTTTAATTTTTTTTAACCTTTTTATTTGTAAATATTATTTTAAAGCTAAAATATATTTTTTATTTGGAGACTTCAATTTTTATTTCCATATGACCATTTTATTTCATTATCTTTAAAATTGTTTTATTATTATTATTATTATTATTTTTGTAATCTTAAGTTAATCAATGCATTAAAAATGTTTTAATTAAGGGTATAAATAGATTTTTATTTAAAAAATTAAGGCAAACAAAAGGTTAAAAAAATAAATAAATAAAAAAGAAAAAGATTCAACAGTGGCGCACAGCTGTGGCTTTTGGCAGTCGACACCTAAAACTACTTTAATTAATTAATTATATAACTTTATTTAATTTAATATTAAGAAATAAATAAAAATTTCCAAAGCATCATTTTTTCTCTCTAAACACTATGATTTGCAAACTTTAAGGAGGCTTTAATTACGTGACACATGGTCCTCCACACATTATCGTGCTAATATTTCTTTTTATTTTTTTTATTCTTTTTATCAGCCATATCTATTTTTTTCTACAACTAAATCAATGTTTTAATTTTAAATTAAATTTGGTCAATTTTTTTTATAATTAAAATAAGAGAAATCTATCATGTTTACCACAATATAATATATATTTTTTAAATTCAAAGTTAATGATAATTAAAAGTTATGTTGTGATAATTTAAGATTTATTTGATAATCATTAATTTTAGGTAATTAAAATATGTTTAGATGAACTAATTAATCCAAGTGAAAGGCGTGAGGATTGATAATGTAATCACTAATTATGGGTGGGGCCTACATGGGCGTAAGTGCTGTGTTTTAATAATGAATCTAATCCACTATTTTAGCAATGGATCTAATCCATTTATTCAACTTGGAAGTTCAGATTAAATTTCTTTCCATATGGAGATTCCGAGTTAACTAATTAATGATTAATTTAAATAATTATTAACTGATAATTATAGTTAATTCAATGTCTACTTTACTTATTTTTTATGAGCCCAACAAGTGTTCATAATCAAACCATTAACTAAACCAGTTTCTTAATCGAGGATGTTTAGTTGCTCGAGACTTAAACCAACGCTATTGTAAACTATATACTGTAAAGATAAAGAGCCGATTTCGTTAATGTACGGTAAAAATAAGAGCAAGTTTTATTCGGTGAACCTTCAAAATTATCCTAATCCAAACTTACGAGACTGCATATAAGATTCCACATCGGTTGGAGAGGAGAACAAAATACTCCTTATAAGGGTGTAGATACCTTTCCCTAATAGATGCATTTTAAAATCGTGAAGTTGATGACGATACATAACAAGCTAAAACGAACAATATTTGTTAGCAGTGGGCTTGGCTATTACAAATGGTATCAGAGCTAGACACCGAATAGTGTGCCAACGAGAACGATGGCCCCCAAGGGGGGTAGATTTCGAGATCTCACATCTGTTGGAGAGGGAAACGAAACACTCCTTACAAGGGTGTAGAAACCTCTCCCTAACATATGTGTTCTAAAACTGTGAGCCTGAAGGCGATACGTAACGGGTCAAAGCAAACAATATCTACTCGCAATGGGCTTGGGTTGTTACAAATGGTATAAGAGTCAGACATCGAATGGTGTGCCAGCAAGAATGCTGGACCCTCAAGAGAGGTGGATTTTAAGAACGTAACACTCTTTACAAGGGTGTAGAAACCTCTCCCTAACATATGTGTTTTAAAACCGTGAACCTGAAGACGAAACATAACGAGTCAAAACAAACAATATCCGCTTGCAGTAGACTTGAGCTGTTACAAATGATATAAGAGCCAGACATCGAACGGTGTGCCAGCGAGAATGCTGGACCCCCAAGAGAGGTGGATTTTAAGAACGTAACACTCCTTACAAGGGTGTAGAAAACTCTCCCTAACATGTGTTCTAAAACCGTGAACCTAAAGACGAAACATAACGAGTCAAAGCAAACAATATCTAGTCGCAGTGGGCTTGGGCTGTTACAAATGGTATAAGAGTCAGACATCGAACGGTATACCAACGAGAACGCTGGACCCCCAAGAGGTGGATTTTGAGATCGCACATCAGTTGGAGAGGGGAACGAAACACTCCTTACAAGGGTGTAGAAACCTCTTTCTAACATATGTGTTTTAAAACCGTAAGCTTGACAACGATACGGAACAGGTCAAAACGGACAATATCTGCTAGCGGAAGACTTAGGCTGTTACACTGCGAATAACGATTTCAATTTGTACAAATCGTCGCATCTACAATTTCGAAAACAAAAATAGAAAGACATCCCAAAACATTTGTAGACAAGTCCCTTTAAACTTTTGTTTGTCCCCTCGCCCCTCCAAAACATTCTTGGCTTCTATCACACAATTGAACCTGGAAGAAGAAGAATATATACCCTAGCTAGTCAACATTGTTCTTCAGAAAATATAAATTTTGCACTCGGAATATTTTACACGTCATCCTAATAAAAAAAACGTAAGCCAAAGAATAATAACAGCCCTACAAAGAAAATCCCCATAGTACAAGATTATATTATAAAAACCAGCTGCATAATATATGATGTCACACTTACATTAATCAATGATTAATTAAATTTGTTTGAACATTATAAGATTCAACCATATGGGTTTTGATGGATAACCAATCAGAATGTTTGATTATTTAAAATTATTGAAAATAAGGAAAGCAATAGAACGTTCGAGGAAATCTGAAAAGCTTAAACAAATAAAGAAAGGCATAAAAAAATATCTTAGAGAATAAGTTAATATATAATTGGGCAAATAATTCATGTTTTTCTATTTTTTCACCTTTATGCAGAGAATAATGAGTATATAAAATAAGAAAAATAAAATATGGAAAGCATTTTATGGAGATATTCATAAACAGATACAGCCAATGGAGTTCTCTTTTAATAAAATAATGTAAGTCTATAATGTTGGTGACGGCTCTACATTTGATTGATTATTTTATTATTCTTTTTGTTTGAATTTTATATTCTTTAATCAATATACCTAATCAAAACCATATCAACTCTAGCTAATTTAGGCTTTTCAAAAAAAAAAAAAAAAAGAAAAAAAAAAGGTAAAAACTCTAGCTAGCTAGGAGGAATTCTCGTTAGTGGGAACGTCGTAGATTTATCGATTTAAATACTTAACGAGATTTGTGATGATTATAAAGCTGAGGAATGGGAAAAGAGTAGCTATGAAATCCTTAGTGTAGATTGAAATTCTCATTCTCGTTGCATTCACTTTCTATAAAAAATAATAAGGCCAAAGAGAGATTCGAAAGAGTATAGTTTTTTTCTCGACCCATATTCCTTTATGTGATCAACATAATCTTTCAGGCATGGTCAGTATGTCAAGATAACCTAAATTATGGTGTTGAAGGGGGAGTATAGGTAGGATGTTTGTGGACTTTATTTACTCAATCTACTTTTAGTTGATGTGAAGTTTCCTGTTTGTCGTATCTTAATATGTTCGTGACTTGATTAGGTTCTAGAGGCAATAACTTTGCACTCTTGTTTTCTCGAATGATTCTAGATAAGTAAATCAATATATATCTTCGATCTTTTCCATCTGTAATTGACGTGAAGCTTTATTCATATTCTAACGTCTTAAAGATCATAACTTGATTTGACTGCACAATCCGTGTGAGATCCCACATTAGTTGGAGAGAAAAACGGTAGACACGTTTTAAAAATCTCGAGGAGAACCCCGGAAGGGAAAGCCAGAAGAGGATAATATCTGCTAGAGGTGGGCTTGGGCCATTACAAGAGGTAGACACCGGGCAATGTGTCAATGAAGAGCTTGAGCCTCGAAGGGGATGGACATGAGGCGGTGTGCCAACAAGGACGATGGGCCCCAAAGAGGGTGGATTGGGAGGTCCCACGTCGATTGGAGAAGAGAACGAGTGTTAGCGAGGACGCTGGACCCTAGAGGAGGGTGGATTGTGAGATTCCACATCGGTTGGAGAGGAGAACAAAACTTTCTTTATAAGGGTGTGGAAATCTCTTTCTATCAGACACGTTTTAAAACTTTGAGGGGAAGCTTGAAAGGAAAAGTTCAAAAAAGACAATATCTACTAGCGGTGGGCTTGATCTATTACGACCGAGATTGAGAGCCGAACTTATTCATTTTTATCTCAGTGTCCACTCCTCCAAAATTTGCTTTCAGATTTCTAGTATTAACCATGTTTATGTTTATGTTTTTTAGCATTAATCTTCCAACACAGATTCAATTTGAACAAACTTATCTAAATTTTTTCGAAAAGTTGTAAAAGCATACCTGGTTTTTCCGAGCCAACTTTATGGATATTGCTGAATTCTCGTTATCTGCAAATGACATGAGAACTTGTCATCTAGAGAAGATAAATTTTCCTAAGAAAAGTTAAGAGAAAGAGAGAGAGAGAGAGTTATGCCAAAACGATGATGAAGGTCACAACGCAACCACATGGCTCACCAGTCTGCTCCAAACATTTTCTTAAGGCATGCTCTTCTCTTTTGCCATCTCCACCAATAATTGGCCAAAGGGGAAGCCATATAATATATGGGAAGCACTGTCAATTATCTACAAAGGAAGAAGCACGCATGTCATGATCCCAAGAGCATTCACACCCTCCCCCTCCTAAGCTACTCAAACTTCAGTAATAATTTAGTCTTTTAATGTCGTTTATATAACTTGAGTTCATGAAGTTGGTGCTATGAATCTCAAACCACAACTCAAAATTTCAACATCAATTTTGCAAGCTACACCGACTCACGCTTATTCAAATCATGATCTAAACATTCCCTAAGAATTTAAAGGGTGCTTTTGTGGTATAGAACAAGATAACTTCATTCAAGGACAAATATTCTAATATAAAAAAGTTGTTAGTATTTACCATGTCATGACCCAATATGACATTATTTCATACATGGAACATATCGGTTAGTATTTCCCTTCTGGGCTACTCCTCAAGGTTTTAAAACGCGTATGTTAGGGAGTGGTTTCCACACCCTTATAAACAATGGTTTGTTCTCCTCTCCAACCGACGTGGGATCTCACAATCCACCCCTTGGGGGGTCAATGTCCTCGCTGGCACACTGTTCGGTGCCTGACTCTGATACCATTTGTTACAGCTCCAGCCTACCGCTAGTAGATATTGCCCTCTTTGGACTTTCCCTTCTAAGCTTCTACTCAAGGTTTTAAAACACATCTGCTAGAGAGAGGTTTCCACACCTTTATAAAGAATGTTTTGTTCTCCTCTCCAACTGAGGTGGGATCTCACAATATCAAGTTATTTACCAAATTCTGTATTTAATATTTTATGATGTCCACTCCAGACAATTTGAATGTATCCCAATTCACTTCTCTCACCAATCATCCTTTTCAATCCTGTTTCTTCTGTGGTTCAAATTCAAAAACGTGACAATAGCTTTGACATCATTTGCACTTGTACAAAGAAGAACCTTAAGAACTGACCACTTCAATAGCTCCAGGACGCATCTTATTAACATGGTTATGTTTGAACCAAAATCAAACTGCACCTGGACCAGTTTGAGATGAGCTGATTATTAGAAGAGCTAAAAATATTATAGCTCTTGATCATGATTGGCATCACCATCAGCATCACTATCACCATCATGAAGGTCTCATCATAGCCACCAGTGACTTTAAAATATAAATGCGAGAGACTTTTTCAAGTATCTTTCTTTTTTCTAACCTTATATTCTAGTTGAATATAAAGGTGCTCTGCTTATGAGTAGCTAATGAAACAATAATTGAAGAAATAACTAAATCCACCTAGTCATTAGAAAAACATTATTAATCAATCCATCTTAAAGCTATGATTAATAGACACAAGTGGGAAAACGTGGATTAAGGTGAGGCATAACAAAAGTTGATACCCACACAATTAGAGCTTCTAAAAGGGTGTATAAATATGGGGAGATAGTGGGTTTGAACCTCCCAACACAATTCTAAGAGGGTTTTTCAGTAGAGGTTTCCTCTGTCAAAACTATGGTGATGAAGATAGCTGATGAATATAGGCCACAAGTTGTGTCAAACACAGAGGAAAATAGAAATTTGGTTGTGAGAGAATATTGTGAAGAGAAAGATAAGGTGTCAGTGGAGAAGATGGAGAGGCAGTGTGATGTTGGACAGAAAGGGAAGCCTTCTATTTTCACTGATCTTCTGGGTGATCCTATTTGCCGCATTCGCCACTTCCCTTTGCACGTCATGCTGGTAAATACAATATACATATGCCATCAACTAGTGAAAATGATGCACTTTCTTGTATATGTTTAAAAAATGGTACGTTTTGATTATATAAATGCATATGTACATATACATATGGGAAGGTTTCCTTTAGGATACTTAGTTTCTCATCATGTGTTTTTTTGGGAATTGTGTGACAGGTTGCAGAATATGGCGAAGCAAGAGATATCATTGGAGTTATAAGAGGATGTATCAAACATGTGACAACAGGTCATTCTCATCATGTCCTTAAGCTGGCTTATATTTTGGGCTTAAGGGTCTCTACTAATCACAGGTTTCTCTCTCTCTCTCTCTCTCTCTAATATACTTCCTTCAATCTCTCTACTAGAGCTATGTCTCTTTCATCATTTCAGCTAAGAAGTTTATCTCGTCTAAACGTGTTCATAGAGCTTGTAATTTGAGAACAATTTTCTAAGAATGGAACTTAAAAATGTATTTGAAGGTCATAAAAATTTAGAAATGGGTTTGATCCCTTAAACAGAAAAGCACGGGAAGCACTGTGTTCCCACAACATAAGGTGGAGAAACAAAAGTGAGAGAAATAAATAAATAAAATATGGATCAGGTTCCACAATAAAGTAAAGCAAATGTCTCGGTATCTAGGAAAAGTAAGAGCCAAAGCTTTTTATGTGGCCAACCATTTGGCTTGCAATTGGACACTTGTGTAGAGGGAACTAGCTTACCATTCAATTAAATATAAGACACCATGTTTGTTCTCTTTGTTCCTTCTTAATACAAATAAATATTCCTTCAACTTTAAGCACACTTTGGTCCACAAGAATTTGCTTAATCCTGACAGCTTTGGTCCACAAGAATCTACCTTCTTTCCCCCCCCCCCCCCCCCCCCCCCCCCCCCCCCCCCCCCCCCCCCCCCCCCCCCCCCCCCCCCCCCCCCCCCCCCCCCCCCCCCCCCCCCCCCCCCCCCCCCCCCCCCCCCCCCCCCCCCCCCCCCCCCCCCCCCCCCCCCCCCCCCNTTCTCATATCATTCTACCTGTTCTAGTCAAAGAAGAAAAGTTACAGCAATACCCAGAAATTCTAAGCATTTATTAAACGCTCATGATATGCAGGAGGCTCGGAGTTGGCATGAAACTAGTTAAGCATCTAGAGGAGTGGTGCAAACAAAAGGGTGCAGACTATGCATATATAGCAACAGACTGCGCCAACCAGCCTTGCATCAACTTGTTTACACAAAAGTTCTCATACACAAAATTCAGATCTCCCACAGTGCTGGTTCAGCCTGTCCACGCTCACTACAAGCCAATCGGCTCGGGGATTGCCATTGTCCGTATTCCTCCACATGTCACTGCTAAAGTTTATCGCCATCTCTTTGCAAATGCGGAGTTCTTCCCCACAGATATCGATGCCATCTTGTCCAATAAGCTTAACTTGGGCACTTTCATGGCTGTTCCTAAGAAGCTGCTCCCTAAATGGAACCCTGAAACAGGGATCCTCCCTCAGAGTTTTGCAATCTTGAGCGTGTGGAACACTAAAGAAGTTTTCAAGTTGCAGGTGAAGGGAGTGTCTAAGCTAACTTATGCATGTTGCATGGGGAGTAGATTATTGGATTCATGGCTACCATGGCTGAGATTACCTTCATTTCCAGATGTATTTAGCCAATTTGGAGTGTACTTCTTGTACGGATTATCCATGAGAGGAACTAATGGGTCGCGTCTCATGAAATCTCTATGCACATTCGTGCATAACATGGCCAAGGACGATGTGGGATGTGGGGCGGTGGTGGCAGAGGTAAGCCAACAGGATCCTGTGAGAGTGGCCATCCCCCATTGGAAGAGACTTTCATGGAATGAAGATTTATGGTGCATCAAGAAGCTGGCAGATTTGCAGGAGGGTGAGTGTGAAAGATCTGAAATGTCTGATTGGATCAAATCTCCACCATCTTCAGCTGGGATATTTGTCGACCCTCGAGACATCTAAGTATCTTCCTTTCTTTTCATTCTTCTCTCCCTCTTCAGTACAGAAAATGACAAAATCTGCTGTGCACTGTCTTAAAGTACAAAAGGAATGTTCATAAATCTCTAGCATAGTCTCTTTCTCTTTTTTGAAGTACTCTTCAGTCAATGACAACTGACAGAAGCTAAGCTAGCTTACACTTTTTAAGTCACATTCCAATCATTGATCTTGAACAAGTTCTTTAAGTCAACTGATAGCTAATCCAACAAGTGGGGGGGAAATTGCAAAGTATCATTGGAATTCTGGCTTGCTCAGCTAGCTTACACTTTTTAAGTCACATTCCAAATAACCCCTTGGCTTTTTCGGCTGTTTGAGGAACATAGTGTTTTAGCCGCTAAGGATGACTATGATTCTGCAAGGCGTTACAACGGTAGACGTGAGACAAAGACAATGCATTTATGTCTAAATTGTGATATTTCAAGATGAACTTGAATTGGGTGTTTCAATTAAAAACAGACCGAGTCCTCAGAAAAGTTGTATTCACCTTGAATGTTTGTATGACCATGTGTGGCCTTTTCTGTTTACATACACTAAAAATCCCCTGAGTACTTGTTAGGAATCACGACTTTCTATAATGATATGGTATTGTCCACTTTGAGCCTAATCTCTCGTGGCTTTACTTTGGACTTTTCCAAAAGGTCTCATTACCAATGGAGATGTATTCCTTATCATGATCATTCCCTAAATTAGCCAATGTGGGACTCCCTCCCAACAATCCTCAACAACACCTACCGCACCTACCGTCCATTACATTATTTTACCCTCTTTCAGTCGTTCTTCTGCCCTTTATTTCTTAAGATTCCCCTTTATTGAGAAATGAGAGAAAAGTATATAAATACTGTGAGCTAGAATTTTTATATAAGATATCGATCAAGAAAAATAAATTATATAAGACCCTAGTGACCTGTTTGAGAGCCAAATTTTAAGCATGCACTCTTTTATAGGATTAGATCATTGTTGATAAACCTATAGCTTAGAGTTTTAAATACACTAACAAAGGGTAAACAATATGCTAATGAAGTAAATCAATCAACAAAGATACTGCATGCTAGCTTGTACAAGTGATGCACTTTTTGAAAACTGATACATGATATTAGGTAAGCTTTCTGGAACCCTAATGCTGGAGTTTTTTCCTCCATTGATGTACATGGCATTGGTGAAGGGCCTTTCTTGTCAGGTAAATTCTACTACCAAATAAACAATGAATTTATTTGTAAGGACCTAGATAAGTCACCTTTAATTTGGCCTCACCCTATAGACTTAGAGTCCCTTTGCATCTTTGTGGATGGCCTCTAATGAGCTGGGGCAATACAATATCAATGAGACTAGAGGCTACAAGTACATAGGAGCATCCTTTGACAAAAGAATCGCTGTAAACTGATCATTAAATGACTATTGAAAACAAAACAAAACAAAGTTATACGTTTCAATTTATCAAACCATTACAAAGAAAATCGATATAATGTGAGATTCCAACTGGGAGGAGAACGAAACATTCTTTAAAAAGGTATAGAAACCACTCCTTAGCAGACGCATTTTAAAAACCTTGAGAGAAAGTCCGAAAGAGAAAGCCTAAAAAGAACAATATCTACTAGCGATAGGCTTAGGCGGTTACATATACTCCTAATATATACTCCTAATGGAATCTACATCCCACCCTTTTTTGTTGAGTTAGCCACCTACACAATTCTCTAGTAACATGACCAGTTTAATCCATTGAATAGAAAGGAAATGGGAAATTCTTAAGCTTTTTAATCTCTATTATTTACTCTTGCCTTATTAGCTTGGGAAGCCAGATATATATACTTCATTACAGTGGAAAATAACAGAAGTTGCAGACTCAAGATGCGGTTCTTCAATTTTAATTTCCTAAAGTTAAAAGTTATTCAGTGTGACTTATCCGTACTACTATAAACTAGATGCTTAAAAAATAGTAGAAAAAAAGGAACTGTTCTTTCTTTTTTCCAGATATCACAAGGTGACCACAAAGGCTTGGGAACAAGGTCAAGAGAAGTGAACTTATATGACCATGACGATGCGGCCCTCTTTTGTCATCACCAAGCTTTCTAGCTTCTAGATTTCCCATTAAACAAATCCGTAGGCCCTTGAAAACATGTTGTGCCTTCAAACCAAACCTACACCAATTTGTTTGTTCAAATAAAGCTAGAAAGAATGTCTTCCAAGTTCAAATTAGCAAATGCTTCTCCTATAAAATAATAACAATGTTAATAAATAAATGCTTGCGGAGGGGAAAAAAGAAGCAATTCACGTATCACTCAAGTTAAATCAACCATTAGACCCAAGTACTTAAAAGCTTTTGGGTTATGGTACATTATTTATTGAAAATATACACAATAAACATATAATGGCTCCATGTAAAGTTTGAATAAAATGAGTATAAAAAACAACAACCAAGCATCAATGTCTGAGGTGACACTCGTAATTTCAACTTGGATAACACATTATCTGGAGACGCCATCTTAATCGGGTAGTTTGTAGAAAGTCTTATTCAAAAGGGAAACACACTCGTATAAATATTTTAATGTGGAAACACCCTCTTTAATTGTTATCGCAGATTCGCAATTTGTCACCAAGTAGTGAAGCAATATTTAAAAAGCACTAATTTATTAAGGTACTTGCAGTAGAATCGATAACCCTTTACACTTCTAATAGCCCCCACCAAGCACAATTTGAAAAGTGGTTCAAGAGACACTAAGCTGGTTAACTGAACCAAAACAGGGGGAATTGGCAAGTGGCAATCATCAAGGCAGAAGAACCAAAAAATAGACCATTCGCCAGACTTATCAGAAAAAAAGTGATAGAATCAGAAGCTAACAACAACCTACAAAATAGGCTTTATAGTAAAGGCATCCAAAACTAATCGAGCGCTACAAACATGCAAATAATAGGAATCAGTGTGCCCTTGGTCCCCTCCACAAAACACACATAAAATCCAGTTACAAATATATACCCGGGGAACAATATCTCATAGCCGATCTACCATCACAATGTAAAAGCTAATTTAAATGCATCCAGGAATAGAAAAATATAACAATGGCATAGAATCCAATAATGACTATAGGTCTAACATTAATGCCTTACCTTACAAATGTCACGGTCTTTGTCACTGCCTCTGCCTTCGAGAAGTAGGACCACCCATATTGAATCCCCACACCAACAGTTCAATCACATGGTATTGAATTAACATAGTAACTAACTATAATAAATCCAAGGAACAAAAAGGAATCAAATGGTAATATAAAACTGTGTTCTATGCTGAAAAATATTCTTCTCTTATTATAACATAAAGTAGGTCAATTATATACCTTAGATTAGTGGGTTTTAATCTAACTCTGCTCTTAATTAGGATAAGTTCAATGGTAATGAACATGGAGTTCCAACATAATTGTTAATTTCTCATAATAAAAACGTTGACGAAAGTTCTATCTTTAACCATATTTTACTATATTATAACCTACCAAATTGCACGAGTTCAGTGATGGGTCAGACAACAACTCCTGCTTCACCATTAGACTAAAGCAGATAAGTTTATCTCACAACCCTCTCACAGTAGAGTGGTAGTGTACCCTGTAGTACCATCACAGCTCTGATTGAAGTTGGTAACTAATAAATGGAAAAAAAACAATTTGATTTTTTTTTAAAAAACTTGAACATTTTGCTAGAATAAAACCTTCTGCGACAACTGAAGCTGGCAAGACAAGTTCCAGGTTATGTAAGATGAAACTCAGAATAAAAGGCATAGACAGAGAAATTGCATATTTACGGTGGTAAGGATTCAAACATATCGTATCATATTTGATTCTTAATATGCAGAAGCGGACAACAAAATAAGAGTTTGATCATAAAATCCAAGCGTCATATAAATGAGTTCTAGGATGACCACAGATCTTGCAAATAATCTTTGCATTTAATAATTGCCATCATGTTGGTGATTAAAATGCATGGTTAAGACGAACAGTTGGGAGGAGTGCTCCTTTAATGTTCAGGAAAACATGATCCAGGCATAGATAAAACAGAACTTGTCAAATGGTCACATGTTAGACGCCTTAACAAAGCTTGAAAATTTGGAGGACTCCTTTTTCAGCAGAGATTGGGGGCTTCCTTGTTCCACCTGCCAGAGAGTGAAAAAGATTAGTTTATAAATGTGCAAAAGCTCTAAATTCAGTTAATAACATCAAATGTTAACTATATTCTGTCATTGATTAGTGGGTTAAGTACATTTTTTTTCTTGATAAAACATCAGCAAGCACCTGTGTCTGTAAGGGAAGAATAAACAACTTCCACAACTACGTTTTTCAAGCGGATAATTAACATGTCAAGGCTTGCTTTTCTACAGGTTAATTGAATGCTCTTATCTTTCTAGTGTTGTGGGCCAGGATCCAATTTTAGGTTGTAAATAGCCCTGAACCCCCAAAATTTTAAAATCAAACCTATAATGATACCAATAAAAAATTTACTGCTCTCGTGTATTAGCAAACTATCCCGATCTTGGCTAGGGGGAATAGCATGGTACTTTGGTGTAAAGTTGAATGGAAAAACTTGTTATCATCATTGCTATCATTTAATAAATTCATTCTGCTGGTCCAATGCCAGTCCTTTTCTAGATACTACTCAATATGTATGCATGTAGCTAACAACTGTGGGTATAACCCTTAAACAACCAAAGAGCTTATAAAAAACAAATAATTAGGAGGATAGCTAACAATCATCTAATGAGCTCAAAGAATTAAGAATGTAGTGGATTAAATAGTAATTTTGTAGTTAGTTTTTAATTGTTAATTGATTTTAGTTTGTTTTCTACTAATGAAGTCCTTAGTTGAGCATTCTTGGAGTGAAGACTCGAGAGTCTTTGATAATGCATGTAACAGCCCAGGCTCACCGCTAGCAGATATTGGCCTCCTTGGGCTTTCCCTTTCGGGCTTCCCCTCAAGGTTTTTAAAACGCGTACGATAGGGAAAGGTTTCCACACCCCTATAAATGGTGTTTCGTTCTCCTCCCCAACCCATGTGGGATTCTCACAATCCACTCCCTTCGGAGTCCAGCGTCCTCGCTGATACTTGTTTCTTTCT